GGGGGTTTAGGGTTAAGGTTAGAATTAGTGTTACGTTAGAATTAGGTTTATTGTTAGGGTTAGGAGATAGGGTAGGTATAGGGTTAGGGTTAAGGATAAGGATAGGGTTAGGGTAAGGGTACGGGTTAGGGGTTAGGGAAAATAGGATTTAGAATGGGACTGTCCCCACAAGGTTAGCTGCACAAGACTGTGTGTTTGTGTGTCTGTGTGTCTCTGTGTGTGTGTGTGTGTGTGTGTGTGTGTGTGTGTGTGTGTGTGTGTGTGTGTGTGTGTGTGTGTGTGTGTGTGTGTGTGTGTGTGTGTGTGTGTGTGTGTGCGTGCGTGCGTGCGTGCGTGCGTGCGTGCGTGCGTGCGTGCGTGCGTGCGTGCGTGCGTGCGTGCGTGCGTGCGTGCATTTTGTTGGTGAATGCAGGCATCACTAACAAGGAAAACTGAGTGCCACAGTTAGGCACAGAAAATGAATGTGCTCCATTTTAGTATAAATCACACACAGGGAAATGTTGCAATCAGAACAAACAACACATGATGAGTAAAACAAAAACAAAAATACAACAGCAAAAATTGTTTGTTATTCACTTGCATATTATTACCTCATACGATTGTCTCCGAAATCATTGGAAAGAGGCCATATGAACAAAGCAATGCTGTTTTTATTTGGTATACTCTCCAACGGATACTATCTCGGCCTCCTGTTCTTTCTTTTCAGAGCCTCTCGTTTCACAGTGGATGTGACATTATTCACAGCTTGCCGGAGCCTCAACACCATTACTTAAAAAGGTCCCATACCACGCACCTGACATGGAAAGCTCATTATGAGCATGCATTTAACGACCCCACATACAGTGGGGATAACAAGTATTTGATACACTGCCGATTTTGCAGGTTTTCCTACTTACAAAGCATGTAGAGGTCTGTAGTTTTTATCATAGGTACACTTCAACTGTGAGAGACGGAATCTAAAACAAAAATCCAGAAAATCACTTTGTATGATTTTTAAGTAATTAATTTGCATTTTATTGCATGAAATAAGTATTTGATACATCAGAAAAGCAGAATTTAATATTTGGTACAGAAATCTTTGTTTGCAATGACAGAGATCATACGTTTCCTGTAGGTCTTGACCAGGTTTGCACACACTGCAGCAGGGATTTTGGCCCACTCCTCCATACAGACCTTCTCCAGATCCTTCAGGTTTCGGGGCTGTCGCTGGGCAATACGGACTCTCAGCTCCCTCCAAAGATGTTCTATTGGGTTCAGGTCTGGAGACTGGCTAGGCCACTCCAGGACCTTGAGATGCTTCTTACGGAGCCACTCCTTACTTGCCCTGGCTGTGTGTTTTGGGTCGTTGTCATGTTGGAAGACCCAGCCACAACCCATCTTCAATCCTCTTACTGAGGGAAGGAGGTTATTGGCCAAGATCTCGCGATACATGGCCCCATCCAACCTCCCCTCAATACGGTGCAGTCGTCCTGTCCCCTTTGCAGAAAAGCATCCCCAAAGAATTATGTTTCCACCTCCATGCTTCACGGTTGGGATGGTGTTCTTGGGGTTGTACTCATCCTTCTTCTTCCTCCAAACACGGCGAGTGGAGTTTAGACCAAAAAGCTCTATTTTTGTCTCATCAGACTACATGACTTTCACCCATTCCTCGTCTGGTTCATCCAGATGGTCATTGGCAAACCTCAGATGGGCCTGGACATGCGCTGGCTTGAGCAGGGGGACCTTGCGTGCGCTGCAGGATTTTAATCCATGACGGCGTAGTGTGTTACTAATGGTTTTCTTTGAGACTGTGGTACCAGCTCTCTTCAGGTCGTTGACCAGGTCCTGCCGTGTAGTTCTGGGCTGATCCCTCACCTTCCTCATGATCATTGATGCCCCACGAGGTGAGATCTTACATGGAGCCCCAGACCGAGGGTGATTGACCGTCATCTTGAACTTCTTCCATTTTCTAATAATTGCGCCAACAGTTGTTGCCTTCTCACGAAGCTGCTTGCCTATTATCCTGTAGCCCATCCCAGCCTTGTGCAGGTCTACAATTGTATCCCTGATGTCCTTACACAGCTCTCTGGTCTTGGCCATTGTGGAGAGGTTGGAGTCTGTTGGATTGAGTGTGTGGACAGGTGTCTTTTATATAGGTAACGAGTTCAAACAGGTGCAGTTAATACAGGTAATGAGTGGAGAACAGGAGGGCTTCTTAAAGAAAAACTAACAGGTCTGTGAGAGCCGGAATTCTTACTGGTTGGTAGGTGATCAAATACTTACGTGCAAGTTCTCCTACTTAAAAATATGAGAGAGGCTTGTAATTTTCATCATAGGTACACGTCCACTATGACAGACAAATTGAGAGAAAAAAATCCAGAGAATCACATTGTAGGATTTTTTATGAATTTATTTGCAAATTATGGTGGAAAATAAGCATTTGGTCACCTACAAACAAGCAAGATTTCTGGCTCTCACAGACCTGTAACTTCTTCTTTAAGAGGCTCCTCTGTCCTCCACTCGTTACCTGTATTAATGGCACCTGTTTGAACTTGTTATCAGTATAAAAGACACCTGTCCACAACCTCAAACAGTCACACTCCAAACTCCACTATGGCCAAGACCAAAGAGCTGTCAAAGGACACCAGAAACAAAATTGTAGACCTGCACCAGGCTGGGAAGACTAAATCTGCAATAGGTAAGCAGCTTGGTTTGAAGAAATCAAATGTGGGAGCAATTATTAGGAAATGGAAGACATACAAGACCACTGATAATCTCCCTCGATCTGGGGCTCCACGCAAGATCTCACCCTGTGGGGTCAAAATGATCACAAGAACGGTGAGCAAAAATCCCAGAACCACACGGGGGGACCTAGTGAATGACCTGCAGAGAGCTGGGACCAAAGTAACAAAGCCTACCATCAGTAACACACTACGCCGCCAGGGACTCAAATCCTGCAGTGCCAGACGTGTCCCCCTGCTTAAGCTAGTACATGTCCAGGCCCATCTGAAGTTTGCTAGAGTGCATTTAGATGATCCAGAAGAGGATTGGGAGAATGTCATATGGTCAGATGAAACCAAAATAGAACTTTTTGGTAAAAACTCAACTCGTCGTGTTTGGAGGACAAAGAATGCTGAGTTGCATCCAAAGAACACCATACCTACTGTGAAGCATGGGGGTGGAAACATCATGCTTTGGGGCTGTTTTTCTGCAAAGGGACCAGGACGACTGATCCGTGTAAAGGAAAGAATGAATGGGGCCATGTATCGTGAGATTTTGAGTGAAAACCTCCTTCCATCAGCAAGGGCATTGAATATGAAACGTGGCTTGGTCTTTCAGCATGACAATGATCCCAAACACACCACCCGGGCAACGAAGGAGTGGCTTCGTAAGAAGCATTTCAAGGTCCTGGAGTGGCCTAGCCAGTCTCCAGATCTCAACCCCATAGAAAATCTTTGGAGGGAGTTGAAAGTCAGTGTTGCCCAGCGACAGCCCCAAAACATCACTGCTCTAGAGGAGATCTGCATGGAGGAATGGGCCAAAATACCAGCAACAGTGTGTGAAAACCTTGTGAAGATTTACAGAAAACGTTTGACCTGTGTCATTGCCAACAAAGGGTATATAACAAAGTATTGAGAAACTTTTGTTATTGACCAAATACTTATTTTCCACCATAATTTGCAAATAAATTCATAAAAGATCCTACAATGTGATTTTCTGGATTTTTTAAAATGAAAATTGCAGGCCTCTCATCTTTTTAAGTGGGAGAACTTGCACAATTGGTGGCTGACTAAATACTTTTTTTCCCCACTGTATGTTATGCAATAAAATGCAAATTAATTACTTAAAAATCATACAATGTCATTTTCTGGATTTTTGTTTTAGATTCCTTCTCTCACAGTTGAAGTCTAACTATGATACAAATTACAGACCTCTACATGCTTTGTAAGTAGGAAAACCTGCAAAATTGGCAGTTTATCAAATACTTGTTCTCCCCACTGTATGTACATTAAATAAAGCAAGGCACTCTCTGTGTACAGACGAGTGGGCCTGAATGACCTGTTGTTAAATGTTATTCTGTGCAAAGAATTTACTTAAGCCCCAGTAAATGAAGAGGGACTAATTAAAGTCATATTTCAATGGCCTGAGGATGTGCAGTGGCAGAGTTCAAAATAAGACGAGGGGTCTGAAAGGAACTTCCCTTGTCGTTAAGTGTGCTCTTCTTTTTGTCCTTCCCCTTCCCCCTCTCCCTTCTTCCCCCTTGGCTCTCTACCTTTTGCTGAACGGCCTTAGTCAGTGGAGGCTGCTGAGGGGAGGACGGCTCATAATAATGACTGGAACGGACAAATGGAATGGCATCAAACCATGTGTTTGATGTATTTGATACCATTCCACCAATTCCGCACCAGCCATTACCACAAGCCCGTCCTCCCCAATTAAAGTGTCACCAACCTCCTGTGGCCTTAATTGTTTTGAACCCAGTGAAAAGAGCAGTTAAGCCAAGCTGTTACTCTCCAATGGTAGCCAACAGAAAATAAACATGTCTGAGGAATTCACATTTGCTCTTTGTCAAACTGAATTGAACAAACTCAGTGTGAAGGGAAATAGAATCCTGCCATAAAGAAGGTCTTTAAAACCAAATTATTTCTCCAAACACATTCAAATATACGGATTGACTCTGTGTGGGGCAGTGTAGGTCCCCAATCAAAGATATGCCTCTTGTAAAATAAAAACAATAAAAAACAACATAAGCTCCTTCATGTACCCCCCCTCCAGAAAAGGTGCGATAAAATGTAATAAAACATATATATTTCTTTCTTAGTGTTAAAGTGTAGTGAGTCCATTTTAAAATGGAAAAAAATAAATGACAAATATAACAAAAAATATAAATAAACAAGAGAGATGAAAAGGCAAGCCTTCCCTAAATGGGGAAAGGTAATGCCATGGTCGCTGTGAGAGAAAGAGTGATCAGTGTAACTTTGGAAGCAGATCTCAGTCAATGTCTACCAAACCTTGTTGGTCTACATAATGTTCCTGTTGTACCCTGCCATGTTTACGAAGTAGTCGCCTACCTGTTTGCTGCTGTATTTTGGCGGGTTGGCCTTGTAGCTGTAATCAGAATACTGATCAGAGCCTGTAGAGTTGTTGTCACCCGTGCCCACAAAGGTGTTGGTGGCAGGTAGGTCCTGAACGGCTTGGTGCTTCATGGAGGCGGAGGGGGACTGGGGCTGCAGCTGGATGGAGGGCAGAGGGGAGTTGGAGCGGTAGTGTCTGCCCAGGTCGGGGCTACCCGGGGGGTAGTTGAGGGGCAGGTGGATCCGGGGACTGTCATTGACATTATCATTTATAAGGTTGAACTTGAGGCCCTTCTGGAGGCTGGCCTCCTTGTCCTCCTCCACTGACTTGGCGGGCTTGTGCGCCTTGCCCTTCTTGCTCTTTTTGCCCTTGCCATTCATGGGCCCTGCTTTGGGAGTGTACAGGTCCTTACTCTCCTTTTTGCCTGCTTGGTAGCCACTCTTGGTGTCCTTCTGCAGGCGATGGCGGATTACCACCACCACCACAATGACCAGAATTACTCCGGCGATGCCCGCCAGACTGCCGCACAGGATGTTGCTGCGCTGGGCCAGCGCGTAGTTGGGGTCCCCGGCAATGTCTCTGTCCAGAGGGGTGTAGAGGCTGTGACCCACCAGAGACTCGATCAGTGTGATGTTCCCCATGGTGTCATTGATGAAGATGTGGACCAGGGTGGTGGTGTGGCACGGGTGCTTGCCTTTGTCGCTCACCTTCACCACCAGACGGTGGAGCCCATTGTGCTTGCGAGTGAACTCCTGAGCCAGGGTGATCTCTCCATTGTTGGGGGAAATGTGGAAGAGTCCGTAGGGGTTCCCGCCGGTGATGCTAAAGACCAGCTCGGCGTTGGGTCCTGTGTCGATGTCCTCGGCCTCTACCACTTCCACGCTGGTGTCAGGGTTGGTGAGAGGTGGGAGGAACTTGTAGGAGGAGTTGGAGGGCTTGGTGACGTAGGGGGCGTTATCGTTCTCATCCAAGACGTTGATAGTCACGCTCACGTAAGAGGACCTGGGAGGGTCACCGGCATCAATAGCCTTGAGACGGAAAGTGTAGGTGCTCTTCTTCTCGCGGTCGAAGGAGATGCTGGAGAGGATAGTGCCTGTGCCGTTCTGGATGAAAAACTGGCCGGTGTCAGGCTCCACCGATAGTTGCACCCTGGCGTTCTCGCCCTTATCTGCGTCGATGACCGTCACCATGCCGACGGGGCTGAGCGGAGGCATGTTCTCCAAGACGGAGAAGCTGTAGCCACTCAACATGAACTTGGGGTCGTTGTCGTTACGGTCCAGCACCTTGACCACCACCGTGGCCGTCCCCCTCAGCCTAGGCGTGCCCATATCGGCCGCCGCCACGTGGAACTCGTAGTGCTCCCTGTGCTCACGGTCCAGCGTGTTCCTCACGCGCACCTCTCCCGTTTTGGGGTCGATCTCAAAGAGACCCTTAGTGGCCGAATCCATGATGATGCTGTAAGTCAGCTTTGCGTTGGCGGCACTGTCCGCGTCCGTGGCCAACACATCCAGGACCTTATCGCCTGGCTTGTTCTCCTCTGCAAAATCCACCTCGAACAGGGTGGGGGAGAAGACAGGTGCATTGTCATTCATGTCGGTGACTTGCACCTTCAGGGAGTTGGTGCTGGACAAAGCAGGGTTTCCAGAGTCCACTGCTACTATCTCAATCCTGTAGTCCTTGGTGCGCTCATAGTCCAGCAGGGTCGTGGTCTGCAGGAAGTACTTCCTCTTGCGGTCGTTGGCTGACTCGCTGGCGGGCCGCAATCGAAAGGGGACTTCCCCAGCTACCACGCAGGTGACCATTGCGTTTTCCCCTTCGTCGCGGTCCGACACCTGCACCAGTGCCACGGGCGTGCCGATGGGCATGTCCTCAGAGATGTTGGCCACGCCGTCTTGGTGGTTGACTAGGCCGATACCGCGGATCTCGATGGAGGGTGCGTTGTCATTCTGGTCTTTGATGTTTATGGTCACCAGGACTTTGGAGCTCTTGGAGTTGGGGCCGCGGTCCTTGGCTATCACGAATAATTTGAGGAAGTTCTCCTCCTCTCGGTCCACCAGGCCCTTGACGTATATGATGCCTGTGGAGTGGTCGATGTGCAGCAGTCTCTGGATGGCATCGGAGGCCTGGTGCAGGCTGTAGTCGATTTCCCTATTAGTGCCCATGTCAGCATCGCTGGCTTTCACCTGGGGACACACACACATAAAGATGAGTCTTTAGCTTCTACAACCTACCACTTTCAAAACCACAAAACAATTGTATTCCCTGTAATTTATGTAATTACCTCTAAAGTCACTCCTAGATTCTATCAAAGCATTGATTCTTCCCATAGCTTTGGACTAAGCATGCGCAGCCACACATAAACATCTAGTGATTGTCACATGGGTCATTGGCAGCTAATGGAGTGAGCAGCTAAATGACTGAGAGTGTTAATGTTCCTCTCATTATCAAAAGGGATTGGTGGCAATGTATTGTCTTTGTCCTGCCTTTGTAATCCTTGCCAAAACAAGACATTTCCCATAGGCTACTGAGAACAGACTTGCATTCCACATAAGACATACTACAGTTTGCTGTAGAATACTTCAGTACTTAATATAGAATTCTGTAGTAAACTGTAGTATACTGTAGAATACTATAGTAAATAGTTATTATCCACAAAAAAACACTGTAGTAAACACTACAGAAATATCCGCAAAAACACTACAGTCCGCTAAAACACTACATTTGTTTTACTACAGTAAATACTACAGTATTTCATTTGCATATAGCCAGCCCATTCCCCTCCTCCATATCCCAATTTGTGCCACCCGTAACTGAGAAATCTACATGCTATAGACCATATATTGTGTTCCCTACAGGTTATAGAAAAGAGCAGAAGTGCTGAACCCAGTCCTACCTACCTATAGGTTATGAAAAATGTGCACCCCACTTCTTTTATTATTCAAAGATAATAAAACTAAAACACTTTAGTAAATAATACGGTCCCCCAAAAAACGACAGTAAATACTACAGTATACTACAGTCGACAAAAACACTACAATAAATACTACAGTATACTAGAGTCTGCAAAAACACTACAGTAATACCTATAGTACATACTACTCTTTATTTTACTACAGTATGTATACTATAGTAAACTGTAAATGCTACGGTATACCACAGTTTTCACTGTAGTGTTTTAAACTAAAGCAAAGTCAGCAAAAACACTACAGTGGATACTATAGTATTGGTACAATAGTATACACTTTAGTATTTATTAATGTGGGATTAGAGGAAGTAATACATTACGACACAAGCAAGACATCTCTGTTACCTACACATGGGGGAATGTCATCTCAGTGAATTTGGTCATAAGGATCCTAATGTATTTTATTCCCATTATAGGCCCATTATTACACAGTATACATATATGTGTATGTGAGTATATCTGGTGTAAATGGACTGAGCAAATGAGAATGGTAAACCAAGAATTCCCTTTAACTGATTAACCAAACCTTGTAGTGTCACTGTTACACTTAACATCACACCTGACACCTTACCACCTTACACACCAAGATCCACTTCTGTAATCTTTATAACATTAAATATCCTTTAACACACTAATTCCATGTCATCCTTGCCAGAGAAAAAACAGAATTCATTCAACTTAACCCTTCCTGCAGTACCAGTCAAAGTTTTGGACATACCTACTCATTCAAGGGTTTTACTTTATTTGTATTATTTTCTACATTGTAGAATAATAGTGAAGACATGAAAACTATGAAATAACACATATGGAATCATGTAGCAACGAAAAAATTGTTAAACAAATCAAAATATATTTTATATTTTTGGTTCTTCAAAGTAGCAACACTTTGCCTTGATGACACTTTTGCACATTCTTTCAACCAGCTTCATGAGGAATGCTTTTCCAAAAGTTGTTCCCACATATGCTGAGCACTTGCTGGCTGCTTTTGCTTCACTCTGTGGTCCAACTCATCCCAAACCATCTCAATTGGGTTGAGGCCAGGTCATCTGATGCAGCACTCCATCACTCTCCTTCTTGGTAAAATAACCCTTACACAGCCTGGAGGTGTGTTTTGGGTCATTGTCCTGTTGAAAAACAAATGATAGTCCCACTAAGCGCAAACCAGATGGGATGGCGTATCGCTGCAGAATGCTGTGGTAGCCATGCTGGTTAAGTGTGCCTTGAATTCTAAATAAATCACTGACAGTGTCACCAACAAAGCACCATCACACAAACTCCTCCATGCTTCATGATGTGAACCACACATGCGGAGATCATCCGTTCACCTACTCTGCGTCTCACAAAGACATGGCGGTTGGAACCAAAGATCTGAAATTTTGACTCAACAGACCAAAGGACATATTTCCACCAGTCTAATGTCCATTGCTCATGTTTCTTGGCCCAATCAAGTCTCTTCTTCTTATTGGTGTCCTTTAGTAGTGGTTTCTTTGCAGCAATTCGACTATGAAGGCCTGATTTACACAGTCCCCTCTGAACAGTTGCTGCAATTTCTGAGGCTGGTAACTCTTATGAATTTATCCTCAGCAGCAGAGGCAACTCTGGGTCATTCTTTCCTGTGGCGGTCCTCATGAGAGCCAGTTTCATCTTAGAGCTTCATGGTTTTTGCGACTGCACTTGAAGAAACTTTCAAAGTGCTTGAAATTTTCCGGATTGACTGACCTTCATGTCTTAAAGTAATGATGGACTGTCGTTTCTCTTTGATTATTTGAGCTGTTCTTGCCATAATATGGACTTGGTCTTTTACCAAATAGGGCTATCTTCTGTATACCCCTTCTACCTTGACGCAACACAACTGATTGTCTCAAACACATTAAGAAGGAAAGAAATTCCACAAATTAGCTTTTAACAAGGCACACCTATTAATTGAAATCAATTCCAGGTGACTACCTCATTAAGCTGGTTGAGAGAATGCCAAGAGTGTGTAAAGCTGTCATGAAGGCAAAAGGTGGCTACTTTGAAGAATCTCGAATATAATTTTTTTTGGATTTGTTTAACACTTTTTTGGTTACTACATGATTCCATATGTGTTATTTCATAGTGTTGATGTCTTCACTATTATTCTATAATGTAGAAAATAGTAAAAATAAAAAAAAAAACCCTTGAATGAGTAGGTGTGTCCAAACGTTTGATTGGTATGTATGTTCAATTCGGCCTTCACCGTTTATGTTCTGGGACAATTTGACCAGTTAAGTACATAAATATATGATTATAACTTCCACAAATGTATGTTCCAGTAGCAGAGAATGTCCTCTTTCATATGCTTTTCCCCTTGAGTTGATAAACCCAACTGTTCAAAAGAATACTGTACCAAATCCATAAATCAATCAAATGATTGCATTTTATGAAATGTTTAGCCTATTTTTAGCCAAACTTTTGACCACTATCCGTCGGCCTCTGAACATCACAGGGAAAGCATACTTATATCCTTGTGATCATAATGTATAGATCTTTACTGCACAGAAGACCATTTGTCTCTAGCACAAAAGTCAAGGCCAAAGGTCATGGTCACGTTGACTTCAAATTGACTTCAAATCAGTGTTGCTCAGCCTCTGAGCATATTATACAGTGGGGAAAAAAAGTATTTAGTCAGCCACCAATTGTGCAAGTTCTCCCACTTAAAAAGATGAGAGAGGCCTGTAATTTTCATCATAGGTAAACGTCAACTATGACAGACAAAAAGAGATTTTTTTTCTCCAGAAAATCACATTGTAGGATTTTTTATGAATTTATTTGCAAATTATGGTGGAAAATAAGTATTTGGTCAATAACAACAGTTTCTCAATACTTTGTTATGTACCCTTTGTTGGCAATGACACAGGTCAAACGTTTTTTGTAAGTCTTCACAAGGTTTTCACACACTGTTGCTGGTATTTTGGCCCATTCCTCCATGCAGATCTCCTCTAGAGCAGTAATGTTTTGGGGCTGTCGCTGGGCAACACGGACTTTCAACTCCCTCCAAAGATTTTCTATGGGGTTGAGATCTGGAGACTGGCTAGGCCACTCCAGGACTTCTTACGAAGCCACTCCTTCACTGCCCGGGCGGTGTGTTTGGGATCATTGTCATGCTGAAAGACCCAGCCACGTTTCATCTTCAATGCCCTTGCTGATGGAAGGAGGTTTTCACTCAAAATCTCACGATACATGGCCCCATTCATTCTTTCCTTTACACGGATCAGTCGTCCTGGTCCCTTTGCAGAAAAACAGCCCCAAAGCATGATGTTTCCACCCTCATGCTTCACAGTAGGTATGGATGCAACTCAGCATTATTTGTCCTCCAAACACGACGAGTTGAGTTTTTACCAAAAAGTTATATTTTGGTTTCATCTGAACATATGACTTTCTCCCAATCCTCTTCTGGATCATCCAAATGCACTCTAGCAAACTTCAGATGGTCCTGGACATGTACTGGCTTAAGCAGGGGGACACGTCTCGCACTGCAGGATTTGAGTCCCTGGCGGCGTAGTGTGTTACTGATGGTAGGCTTTGTTACTTTGGTCCCAGCTCTCTGCAGGTCATTCACTAGGTCCCCCTGTGTGGTTCTGGGATTTTTGCTCACCGTTCTTGTGATCATTTTGACCCCACGGGTGAGATCTTGCGTGGAGCCCCAGATCGAGGGAGATTATCAGTGGTCTTGTATGTCTTCCATTTCCTAATAATTGCTCCCACAGTTGATTTCTTCAAACCAAGCTGCTTACCTATTGCAGATTTAGTCTTCCCAGCCTGGTGCAGGTCTACAATTTTGTTTCTGGTGTCCTTTGACAGCTCTTTGGTCTTGGCCATAGTGGAGTTTGGAGTGTGACTGTTTGAGGTTGTGGACAGGTGTCTTTTATACAGATAACAAGTTCAAACAGGTGCCATTAATACAGGTAACGAGTGGAGGACAGAGGAGCCTCTTAAAGAAGAAGTTACAGGTCTGTGAGAGCCAGAAATCTTGCTTGTTTGTAGGTGACCAAATACTTATTTTCCACCATAATTTGCAAATAAATTCATAAAAAATCCTACAATGTGATTTTCTGGATTTATTTTCCTCAATTTGTCTGTCATAGTTGACGTGTACCTATGATGAAAATTACAGGCCTCTCTCATCTTTTTAAGTGGGAGAACTTGCACAATTGGTGGCTGACTAAATACTTTTTTCCCCCACTGTACGTGATCAGAATGGTAGCACCATTCCTGTACAGAAAATGTCTTGTTTCTAGGACACACTGTTCAAAAGTTAAGTAGGCCAAGGTCAAATTGCTGGTCAAACTGACTTCAGACCTGTGTTGCTCAGCCTCAAAAGTTACACTCCTTCATATTAGTGGATTTGGCTATTTCAGCCACACCCATTGCTGACAGGTGTATAAAATTGAGCACACAGCCATGCAATATCAATAGACAAACATTGGCAGTAGAATTGCCTGTACTGAAGAGCTCAGTGACTTTCAACGTGGCACCGTCATAGGATGCCACCTTTCCAACAAGTCAGATCGTCAAATGTCTGCCCTGCTAGAGCTGCCATGTTCAACTGTATGAATAACATATTATTTTCGTGTCAAATCGCCAATTGGCAACCCATGCCTTATGGGATTAATTGACACATAAACAAACATTAAAATAATTCACTGTGGTAATTCAGTGACAATTCTTCTTCCAGTGTTCACTGCAGTGTATATCGCATAAAGAGTGAAAGAATGTTCGGTAAAAATCAATCAAATAAGGTTCTCCAGAAAATAATTATACCCCTAGAGAAGTAAAATAATATACATACAGTGGGGAAAAAAAGTATTTAGTCAGCCACCAATTGTGCATGTTCTCCCACTTAAAAAGATGAGAGAGGCCTGTAATTTTCATCATAGGTACACGTCAGCTATGACAGACAAAATGAGGAAAAAAATCCAAAAAATCACATTGTAGGATTTTTTATGAATTTATTTGCAAATTATGGTGAAAAATAAGTATTTGGTCAATAACAAAAGTTTCTCAATACTTTGTTATATACCCTTTGTTGGCAATGACACAGGTCAAACGTTTTCTGTAAGTCTTCACAAGGTTTTCACACACTGTTGCTGGTATTTTGGCCCATTCCTCCATGCAGATCTCCTCTAGAGCAGTGATGTTTTGGGGCTGTCGCTGGGCAACACAGATTTTCAACTCCCTCCAAAGATTTTCTATGGGGTTGAGATCTGGAGACTGGCTAGGCCACTCCAGGACCTTGAAATGCTTCTTACGAAGCCACTCCTTCGTTGCCCGGGCGGTGTGTTTGGGATCATTGTCATGCTGAAAGACCCAGCCATGTTTCATCTTCAATGCCCTTGCTGATGGAAGGAGGTTTTCACTCAAAATATCACGATACATGGCCCCATTCATTCTTTCCTATACACGGATCAGTCGTCCTGGTCGCTTTGCAGAAAAACAGCCCCAAAGCATGATGTTTCCACCCCCATGCTTCACAGTAGGTATGGTGTTCTTTGGATGCAACTCAGCATTCTTTGTCCTCCAAACACGACGAGTTGAGTTTTTACCAAAAAGTTATATTTTAGTTTCATCTGACCATATGACATTCTCCCAATCCTCTTCTGGATCATCCAAATGCACTCTAGCAAACTTCAGACGGGCCTGGACATGTACTGGCTTAAGCAGGGGGACACGTCTGACACTGCAGGATTTGAGTCCCTGGCGGCGTAGTGTGTTACTGATGGTAGGCTTTGTTACTTTGGTCCCAGCTCTCTGCAGGTCATTCACTAGGTCCCCCCGTGTGGTTCTGGGATTTTTGCTCATTTCTGGGATTTTTGCTGATTTGTGATCATTTTGACCCCACGGAGTGTGATCTTGCATGGAGCCCCAGATCGAGGGACATTATCAGTGGTCTTGTATGTCTTCCATTTCCTAATAATTGCTCCCACAGTTGATTTCTTCAAACCAAGCTGCTTCCCTATTGCAGATGCAGTCTTCCCAGCCTGGTGCTGGTCTACAATTTTGTTTCTGGTGTCCTTTGACAGCTCTTTGGTCTTGGCCATAGTGGAGTTTGGAGTGTGACTGTTTGAGGTTGTGGACAGGTAATTTGTCTGTCATAGTTGACGTGTACCTATGATGAAAATTACAGGCCTCTCTCATCTTTTTAAGTGGGAGAATTTGCACAATTGGTGGCTGACTAAATACTTTTTTTCCCCACTCTATCTGGTGTGCTGTTTGGATTAAATGGAGTAAGTGCTGTTATTGTGAAATGGAAACGTCTAGGAGCAACAACGGCTCAGCCGCGAAGTGGTAGCCCACACAAGCTCACAGAACAGGACCGCCGAGTGTTGAAGCACGTAACGCGTACAAATAGTCTGTCCTCGTTGCAACACTCACTACCGAGTTCCAAACTGCCTCTGGAAGCAACGTCAGCACAATAACTGTTAGTCAGGAGCTTCATGATGTGGGTTTCCATGACCGAGCAGCCGCACACAAGCCTAAGATCACCATGCGCAATGCCAAAATTCGGCTGGAGTGGTGGAAAGCTCGTCACCATTGGACTCAGGAGCAGTGGAAATTATGAATCACGTTTCACCATCTGGCAGTCGGACGGACAAATCTGGGTTTGGCAGATGCCAGGAGAACACTACCAACCCCAGTACATAGTGCCAACTGTAAAGTTTGGTGGAGGAGGAATAATGGTCTGTGGCTGTTTTTCATGGTTCGGGCTAGGCCCCTTAGTTCCAGTGAATTGACATCTTAATGCTACAGCATACAATGACATTATAGACGATTCTGTACTTCCATCTTTGTGGCAACAGTTTGGGGAAGGCCCTTTCCTGTTTCAATATGACAATGTCCCCGTGGACGAAGCGAAGTCCATACAGAAATGGTTTGCCGAGAACGATGTGGAAAACTTGACTGGCCTCCACAGAGCCCTGACCTCAACCCCATTGACTAGTCAAGGATCATATCACCTCTACCTTACCTGCCATCCTAGACCCACTTCAAATTGCTTAACGCCCCAATAGATCCACAGACGATTCAATCGCCATCACTCTGCACACTGCCCTATCCCATCTGGACAAAAGGAATACCTATGTTAGAATGCTGTTCATTGACTACAGCTCATCATTAAACACCATAGTACCCTCCAAGCTCATCATTAAGTTTGAGGCCCTTGGTCTGAACCCCGCCCTGTGCAACTGGGTCCTGGACTTCCTGACAGGCAGCCCCCGGGTGGTAAAGGCAGGAAACAACACCTCCACTTCGCTGATCCTAAACATTGGGGCCCCACAAGGGTACGTGCTCTGCCCAAGCCTGTACTCCCTGTTCACCCATGATTGCGTGGCCAAGCACGTCTCCAACTCAATCATCAACTTTGCAGACAACAGTAGTTGGCTTGATAACCAACAATGACGAGAAAGCCTACAGGGAGGAGGTGAGGTCTTTGGGAATGTGGTGCCAGGAAAATAACCTCTCACTCAACATCAACAAAACAAAGGAGATGATCGTGGACTTCAGGAAACAGCAGAGGGTGCACCCCCCTATCCACATCGACGGGACCACAGTGGAGAAGTTGCTTGGCATACACATCACTGACAAACTGAAATGGACCACCCACACAGACAATGTGGTGAAAAAGGCGCATCAGAGCCTCTTCAACCTCAAGGAGGCTAAAGAAAGGTGTCTTGGCACCTAAAACCTTCACAAGCTTTTACAGATGCACAATTGAGAGCATCCTGTCGGGCTGTATAACCGCCTTGTACGGCAACTGCACCGCCCACAACTGCAAGGCTCTCCAGGGGGTGGGGCGGTCTGCCCAACGTATTAACAGGGGCAAACTACCCGCACTCCAGGACACCTACAGCACCTGATGTCACAGGAAGGACAAAAATATAATCAAGGACATCAACCACCCGAGCCACTGCCTGTTCACCCCGCTATCATCCAGAAGGTGAGGTCAGCACAGGTGCATCAAAGCTGGGACCGAGAGACTGAAAAACAGCTTATATCTCAAGGCCATCAGACTGTTAAACAGCCATCATTAGCACATTAGAGGCTGCTGCCTATAGACATAGACTAGAAATCACTGGCTACTTTAAGAAATGGAACACTAGCCACTTTAATAATGTTTACATATTTTGCATTACTCATCTAATATGTATATACTGTATTCTATACTATTCTACTGTATCTTATTCCATGCCGCTTTGACATCGCTCGTCCATATTTGTACAGTACCAGTCAAAGTTTGGACACACCTACTCATTCAAGGGTTTTATTTTTACTATTTTCTACATTGTAGAATAATAGTGAAGACATCAAAACTATGAAATAATACATATGGAATCATGTAGTAACCAAAAAAGTGTTAAACAAATCAAAAATATTTTATAATTGAGATTCTTCAAAATAGCCACCCATTGCCTTGATGACAGCTTTGCACACTCTTGGCATTATCTCAACCAGCTTCATGAGCTAGTCACCTGGAATGCATTTCAATTAACAGGTGTGCCCTCGTAGCACCAGTTAGCCTTGAGCCTTGAGCTAGCCCCGGCTATCTACCTCTTTGTCTACCGGACGGGAGTAGCCAGCTAACCAGCTAACTAGCTACTTGCTATTAGCCACCGTTAGCGGCTTTTTCTCCATTGTCCATGTCCTGCACTACCTACCAGCCAGCTCTAGTCTGGACTGTTATCGGCCAGTCTGCACTGTCTGCACAGCGAGTTATCGACCCAGAACCTATCGGATTTTCTGCCGGAATCACTGGACCTTTAACACTGGATAATCACAACTATCTAGCTCCAACCAAATGAACGTTGTTGTTAGCTAATCAGCCTTGAGCTAGCCTTGAGTCAAGCAGATCTCCCGGCTATCTACCTCTCTGTCAACCGGACGGGACCTCCTAGAGTCGACACGGAGCCCTGCCGATCTATCACGACTGGTTTGCCGATGTAATCGTCAGTGGTTTCAACAGGCTTCCCGTTGCGACGACCACAAAGATCCATCTGCTAGCCCCGGCCCGCTAGCACACACAAACTACAACCGTGCTTCCTTCTCGCTGTGCTGAAGCACCAATTTGAACTGCTGTTCACTGGACCTTATGATCACTCAGCTGCACAGCTGATGCCTGCTGGACTGTTCCTTTACACGGTACCCTGTCCTGTTTATTCTGTTTAGCCTCAGCCCAAACTTTATCGCCATTACCAGTTGTTGTCTTAGCTCTCTCTAATAACATCTGTGATTGATTTATGCCTCTCTCCCATGTCAATATGCCTTGCCTATTGCTGTTCCAGTTAGTTCCTATTATACAATTTCACTGTAGAACCCCATGTTCCTCTCAAACTGCCTCAAATAGTTCCTTTGTTCCACCCCCCATACACGCCGAGACCAGCTCTATCGGTGCCTCCAGTGATGCTATATCTTTTATTGTTATCCAACACTTAGGTTTACCTCCACTGTACTCATATCCTTCCATATCCTTGTCTGTACATAATGCCCTGAATCTTTTCTACAAAGCCCGGAAATCTGCCGCTATTATTCTCTGTACCCAACGCACTAGAAGACCAGTTCTTAAATCCTTTAGCCGTATCATTATTCTAGTCCTCCTCTGTTCCTCTGGTGATGTAGAGGCTAACCCAGGCCCTGCAGCCCCCAGTATCACTCCTACTCCCCAGGAGCTATCATTTGTTGACTTCTGTAACCATAAAAGCCTTGGTTTTCTTCACGTTAACATCAGAATTCTACTTCCTAAGTTTGAGTTATTCACTACATTAGCACACTCCGCCTACCCTGATGTTCTAGTAGTGTCTGAATCCTGGCTTAGGAAGGCCACCAAAAATTCTGAAATGTCCATCCCCAACTACAACATTTTCTATCTCGATAGAACTGCCAAAAGTGGTGGAGATGCAATCTACTGTAGAGATAGCCTGCAGAGCTCTATCATACTATCCAGGTCTGTGCCCAAACAGTTTGAGCTTCTACTTCTAAAAATCCACCTTTCCAGAAATAAGTCTCTCACTGTTGCCGCTTGCTACAGACCCCCCTCAGCCCCAAGCTGTGCCCTGGACACCATATGTGAATTGATTGCCCACCATTTATCCTCATTGCTCGTAGTGCTTGGTGACCTAAATTGGGATATGCTTAACACCCTGGCCGTCCTACAATCCAAACTAGATGCCCTCAGTCTCACACAAATTATCAACGAACCTATCAGGTACAACCCTAAATCCGTAAACATGGGTACCCTCATAGATATCATCCTGACTAACTTACCCTCTAAATACACCTCCGCTGTCTTCAACCAGGATCTCAGCGATCAGTGCCTTATTGCCTGCGTCCGTAATGGGTCCGCAGTCAAACGACCAGCCCTCATGACTGTCAAAAGCTCCCTAAAACACTATAGCGAGCAGGCCTTCCTAATTGACCTGGCCCAGGTATCCTGGATGGATATAGATCTCATTCCGTCAGTAGAGGATGCCTGGTTGTTCTTTAAAAGTAATTTCCTCTCAATCTTAAATAAACATGCCCCATTAAAAAAATACAGAACTAAGAACAGATATGGCCCCTGTTCTCCTCAGAGTTGACTGCCCTTGACCAGCACAAAAACATCCTGTGGCGCACTGCATTAGCATCAAATAGGCCCCGCGATATGCAACTTTTCAGGGAAGTCAGGAACCAATATACATAAGCAGTTAGGAAAGCAAAGGCTAACTTTTTCAAACAGAAATTTGCATCCTGTAGCATTAACTCCAAAAAGTTTTGGAACACTGTAAAGTCCATGGAGAATAAGAGCACCTCCTCCCAGCTGCCCACTGCACTGAGGCTAGGAAACACTATCACCATCCGATAAATCTATAATCATCGAGAATTTCCACAAGCATTTTCCTACGGCTGGCCATGCTTTCCACCTGGATACCACTACCCCGGCCACCAGCTCTGCACCCTCCGCTGCAACTTGCCCATGCCCCCCCCCCCCGCTTATCCTTCACACAAATTCAGACAGCTGATGTTCTGAAAGAGCTGCCGAAATTGTCGCAACCTCTATTACTAGCCTGTTCAATCTCTCTTTCGTAACATCTGAGATCCCCAGAGATTGGAAAGCTGCCGCGGTCATCCCCCTCTTCAAAGGGCGTGACACTCTAGGTCCAAACTGTTACAGACCTATATCAATCCTGGCCTGCCTTTCGAAAGTTTTTGAAAGCCAAGTTAACAAACAGATCACCGACCATTTCGAATCTCACCGTACCTTCTCCGCTATGCAATCCGGTTTCCGAGCTGGTCATGGGTGCACCTCAGCCACGCTCAAGGTCCTAAACGATATTATAATCGCGATCGATAATAGACAGTACTGTGCAGCCATCTTCATCGACCTGGCCAAGGCTTTCGACTCTGTCAACCACCGCATACTTATTGGCAGACTAAATAGCCTTGGTTTCTCAAATGACTGCCTAACCTGGTTCACCAACTACGTCTCAGATAGAGTTCAATGTGTCAAATCGGAGGGCCTGTTGTCTAGACCTATGGCAGTCTCTATGGGGGTGCCACAGTGTTCAATTCTTGGGCCGACTCTTTTCTCTGTGTATATCATTGCTGTCGCTCTTGCTGCTGGTGACTCTCAGATCCACCTCTACGCAGACGACACCATTTTGTATACATCTGGCCCTTCATTGGACACTGTGTTAACAAACCTCCAAACGAGCTTCAATGCCATACAACACTCCTTCAGTAGCCTCCAACTGCTCTTAAACACTAGTAAAACTAAATGCATGCTCTTCAATCGAACGCTGCTGGCACCCGCCCACCCGACTAGAATCACAACTCTCGACGGGTCTGACCTAGAGTATGTGGACAACTACAAATACCTAGGTGTCTGGTTAGACTGTAAACTCTCCTTCCAGACTCACATTAAGAATCTCCAATCCAAAGTTAAATCTAGAATCGGCTTCCTATTTCGCAACAAAGCCTCCTTCACTCATGCTGCCAAACATGCCCTCGTAAAACTGACTATCCTACCGATCCTTGACTTCAGCGATGTCATTTACAAAATAGCCTCCAAAACTCTACTCAGCAAATTGGATGTAGTCTATCACAGTGCCATCCGTTTTGTCTCCAAAGCCCCATACACTACCCACCACTGTGACCTGTACGCTCTTGTTGGCTGGTCCTCATTACATGTTCGTCGTCAAACCCACTGGCTCCTGGTCATCTATAAGTCACTGCTAGGCAAATCCCTGCCTTATCTTAGCTCATTGGTCACCATAGCAACACCCACCCGTAGTATGCGCTCCAGCAGGTATATCTCACTGGTCATCCCCAAAGCCAACACCTCCATTGGCCGCCATTCCTTCCAGTTCTCTGCTGCCAATGACTGGAACGAATTGCAAAAATCTCTGAAGCTGGAGACTCTTATCTCCCTCACTAACTTTAAGCGTCAGTTGTCAGAGCAGCTTACCGATCGCTGCATCTGTACACAGCCCATCTGAAATTAGCCCACCCAACTACCTCATCCCCATATTGTTATTTATTTTGCTCATTTGCACCCCAGTATCTCTATTTGCACATTATCTCTTGCACATCTATCATTCCAGTGTTAATACTAATTGTAATTATTTTGCATTATAGCCTATTTATTGCCTTACCTCCATAACTTGCTACATTTGCACACACTGTATATATATTTTCTGTTGTATTTTTCGACTTTATGTCGAAAATACAGTCCAGTATTGCAATGCTTCACTGGATCAATCTGAAATGTTGCACACCCACTACTGCCATCTGATGGCTAAAATCTAAATTGCGCCTAAACTGCAATATTATATTGTGGCCTTTCTCTTGCATTTCAAAGATGATGGATCTAAATAAATAATAGAAAATGCACATTTTTTTGTTTGTATTATCTTTTACCAGATCTAATATGTTATATTCTCCTACATTAATTTCACATTTCCACAAATTTCTAAGTGTTTCCTTTCAAATAGTATCAAGAATATGCATATCCTTGCTTCAGGTCCTGAGCTACAGGCAGTTAGATTTGGGTATGTCATTTTTGGCAAAAATTGAAAAAAAAGGTCAGATCCTTAAGAGGTTAACACTTTTTTGGTTACTACTTGATTCCATATGTATTATTTCATAGTTTGATGTCTTCTCTATTATTCTACAACGTAGAAAATAGCACAAATAAAGAAAAACCCTGGAATGAGTAGGTGTGTCCAAACTTTTGACTGGTACTGTATATATGCATATATTCTTAATTCATTCCTTACTTAGATTTGTGTGTATTGGGTATATGTTGTGAAATTGTTACATATTACTTGTTAGATATCTGTTAGATGTTAGATATACTTGTTAGCACTGTCGGATCAAGAAGCACAAGCATTTCGCTACACCCATACCTCAACTACCTCAACTAGCCGGTGCCCCCGCACATTGACTATGCAACGGTACCCCCCTGTATATATAGCCTCCCTACTGTCACTTTATTTTACTGTATATATAGCCTCCCTACTGTCACTTTATTTTACTTCTGCTCTTTTTTTCTCAACACTTTTTTGTTGTTGTTTTATTCTTACTTTTTTGTTTAAAATAAATGCACTGTTGGTTAAGGGCTGTAAGTAAGCATTTCACTGTAATGTCTGCATCTGTTGTATTCGGCGCATGTGACCAATAAAATTTGATTTGATTTGATTTGATAATAACATCTGCTAAACATGTGTATGTGACAAATACAATTTGATTTGATTTGATTGAACACCTTTGGGATGAATTGGAACGCCGACTAAGAGCCAGGCCTAATCGCCCAACATCAGTGCCTGACCTCACTAATGCTCTTGTGGTTGAATAGAAGCAAGTCCCTTTAGCAATGTTCCAACATCTATTGGAAAGCCTTCCCAGAAAAGTGGAGGATCTTACAACAGCAAAGGGGGGACCAACTTCATATTAATGCCCATGATTTTGGAATGAGATGTTCGACGAGCAGGAGGCCATGTAGTGTATATTGACCAAGGTCAAGGTCAAATAGAACGGGTCAAATTGCAGGTCTAGTTTTCCCAGAACATCATGGACTTCACTTTTCCGGTACTGGGTCTATTATTATTATACTGTTTTTTATTACGTGTTTTACAATTTTGAGACCCATACTTAGGTATGTAGATGAAGGGTCATGGTGGAAAGATTACATCAAATTGACCCGGAACATAAGGGAATCGTTAACAGGAATTTGAAGAGACTTCCATTGAGGAAGAAGAAATGCTTGATTGACACGTCTGACCTGTTTAAAGGAAAAGTCCACTCACAAACAATGTTTTTGTATTTTTTCCATTAGTCCACTGGTAATACAGTCACAAATGTTTTGCATGTCAGCAGTCAAGTGTTCAAGATATTGGACTTTCAAGAAGCAAAGTGTAACTTGACACATGCAAAATGCAGCATCATGATGATGTGGAAAGTTACACTGCTTCTTGAAAATCCTATATCTTGAAAACATGACTTTTGACATGCAAAACATTTTGGGACTGTATCAACAGTTGACTAATAAAAAATAAATAAAAATATAGTTTTGGAGTGGATTTCTCCTTTAAGTCATCAAATTAGTCAATTTTTATTCCCTTGCCTTTCAATTGCCACTGCTCCCTTAGCAAGATAATCATGAAAGTAAATACTCTTGAGACGTTCATGATCACATGGACTAATTGTTGACTAAGAGATGAACAGTATTTATACCAATTTCATGCCTGGACACTTTGCCTCAAATTGCTCCTGGAACCCGGCCAACTGTAGGGCTCACGTTAACGGCTGTGTTTGCATTGCAATCCAATATGCAATTCTCAGAACCTGTCAATAATTCAATAGTGTTTTCTAAAGCTGATGTTTAAGTGACAGAGGGAAGAGGAAGAACAATGTATTTGCTGAGGAGAATATGATTTGGTTTAATAATTTTCTTAACCTTAACCCTGTTGTTTTGCATCGGTGCACGGGCCCCGTGGGAAAGAGGGAGCCTTATGTAATAAGGGTGTTTGTCAAGTGGAGTTTGAGGGGCTTCCGGGCTCTTGGGATGTCAGTGAGAGTTAGTTCAACAGCTCCTCTCTCACCCAGTCTCTCCACCAGATCTCATTTGTGAAGAATACATTTGGTGTGGGGAGTTGAATAGCTGAACCGCAAAGTCTGAGTTTAAAGGCTGTTTAAAAAATAAATAAATAAATAATGGACTGAATCTACTTGTTTTTGTTTTTTACTAAAACAATTGGCCACACAGCAAGAAATGTCAGTTATTTTCATGTTTGAAATGCTCTGAAAGAGGGAGAGAGAGACAGTGTGTGAGTGAGTGAATGAGTGAGTGAGTGAGTGAGTCTATGAGTGTAGGTCAACCTAACTGTAAGTCACTCTGGTCTGCTAAATGACTAAACTGTAAAAAAAAAAAAAAAATGAAATAGTCTGTGTGTATGTGCTGTAGGTATATGTGTGTCTTGTACCTGCAGAATTGAGTGTCCCATTGGGCTGTTCTCGGCCAGCTCAACCTCGTAGTGGCTCCTCTCGAACTTGGGTGCATTGTCATTCTGGTCGGTGACGGTGACCCTCAGCAGGGCACTGCTGGCGCGCGGCGGTGTGCCCCCGTCCACCACGCGGATGTTAAGGTCATATGAGTCTTTCTGCTCGCGGTCCAGGTTGCCCATGACGATGAGCTGCGGCAACTTCTCATCCGTGTCCTCGGCCACCTGTAGGCTGAAGAGTTGGTCGGCGTTAGGCCCGGCACTAAGTGAATACTCGGCCACGCCATTGTGGCCCGAGTCCTTGTCGCTGGCCATGGGGATGAAGAAGACGGCCCCGATGTGTGTGTTCTCTGGGATGGACAGTGTGAGGATGGGCGAGGCGAACTGGGGTGTGTTGTCATTAACGTCCTGCACCTCGATGAGGCCCTCAATCAGCCGCGGTCCCTGGCCCTGCATCAGGTCCGTGATGGACACCTCGAACTCCAGGAAGCACTTGTCGCCCTCGAACAAGTTGCGGCAGTCCCGCAGCGTCTCACGGTCAATGGGGCTATCCGTGGTATAGATGTCACCCGTCTTGCCATCCACACGAAGGTAAGGGCTGCCCACCTCCAGCTTGTACAGGTGGCCCGAGTCAGGCAGGCCCTCATCCGATGCCAGGCTGCCGATCAACGTGTTGGGAGGCTGCTCCTCGCGCATCCGGTAGAGAATGTCGGTGGGGGAGGCGCCACAGTAAACCAGCAGCATGGCGGCCAATACCAGGGTGGCACCCCACCTCAGCGCCATTACTCCGGTCGACTGGCACAGCTTCGGCCTGTAGATGAAAAAAAATACAAAGAAAAAACAAACAAACATGGTTAGAAAAGGCCTCACTCATCTTCTACAAAGGTTCGGACACTCCACCAAATTGGTGAAGTGAAATTATAAAAATTACTTGTTTAAAAAAATTAAAGAAAATAAATAACGTAAATGTTGTGCATGCATATAAATTCACCCCTTTGCTATGAAGCCCCTAAATAAGATCTGTGCAACCAATTACCTTCAGAAGTCACATAATTAGTTAAATAAAGTCCACCTGTGTGCAATCTAAGTGTCACATGATCTGTCACATGATCTCAGTATATATATAAACCTGTTGTGAAACACCCCAGAGTCTGCAACACCACTAGGCAAGGGGCACCACCAAGCGGCAGGTAGCTTAGTGGGTAAGGGCGGCAGGTAGCTTAGTGGGTAAGAGCGTTGTGCCAGTAACCGAAAGGTCGCTGGTTCTAATCCCCGAGCCGACTAGGTGAAAAATCTGTCGATGTGCCCTTGAGCAAGGCACTTAACCCTAATTGCTCCTGTAAGTCGCTCTGGATAAGAGCGTCTGCTAAATGACCAAAAATAAAATAAATAAAATAAGCAGCATCATGAAGACCAAGGAGTTATCCAAACAGGTCAGGGACAAAGTTGTGGAGAGGTACAGATCAGGGTTGGGTTATAAAAAATATCCTAAACTTTGAACATTCCACGGAGCACCATTAAATCCATTATAAAAAAATGAAAATAATATGGCACCACAACAAACCTGCCAAGAGAGGGCCGCCCGTCAAAACTCACCTGGCAAGAGGGCATTAATCAGAGAGGTAATAAAGAGACCAAAGATAACCCTGAAGGAGCTGCAAAGCTCCACAGCAGAGATTGGAGTATCTGTGTACAGGACCACTTTAAGCCGTGCACTCCACAGAGCTGGGCTTTACAGAAGTATGGCCAGAAAAAAGCCATTGCTTCAAGAAAAAAAATAAGCAAACACGTTTGTTGTTCGCCAAAAGGCAAGTGGGAGACTCCTCAAACATATGGAAGAAGTTACTCTGGTCAGATTAGACTAAAATTGAGCTTTTTGGCCATCAAGGAAAATATAACACATCTCATCACCCCAAGAACACCATCCCCACAGTGAAGCATGGTGGTGGCAGAATCATTCTGTGGGGATGTTTTTCATCGGCAGGGACTGGGTAACTGGTCAGAATTGAAGGAATGATGGATGGCGCTAAATACAGGGAAATTCTTGAGGGAAACCTGTTTCAGTCTTCCAGAGATTTGAGACTGGGATGGAGGTTCACCTTCCAGTAGGACAATGACCCTAAGCATACTGCTAAAGCAACACTCGAGTGGTTTAATGGGAAACGTTTAAATGTCTTGGAATGGCCTAGTCAAAGCCCAGACCTCAATCCAATTGAGAATCTGTGGTATGACTTAAAGATTGCTGTACACCAGCGGAACCCATCCAACTTGAAGAAGCTGGAGCAGTTTTGTCTTGAAGAATGGGCAAACATCCCAATGTCTAGATGTGCCATCTTATAGAGACATATCCCAATAGACTTGCAGCTGTAATTGCTGCAAAAGGTGGCTCTACAAAGTATTTACTTTGGGGGGGAGAATAGTTATGCACGTTCAAGTGTTCAGTTTTTTTCATCCTATTTCTTGTTTGTTTCACTAGAAAAAAAATCCAAGGGGGGTGAATACTTTCCCAAGCCAACTATGGGACAGTTGTGGGATGTGATACCTCCCAAATTAATACAACCACTAGCATCAAAAAACCTTTTTACACAATGTGGCTGATGCAACAGATCAGAACGTTCAGTTTAAAATGCTGATAAACTATCAGGCTATTTCTTCACATTATCAAAAGTGACCGCAAATGCAATTATGCATGTAATGCTTTTTTTATAAAGGTGCATTTTTATGGTGAAAATTATCTTCCCCAAACTTGAAACCCACTCGCTGCTTATGTTAGGCTCTACACCGGACTATTCTTGATTTTATCTTGTCTTTACATATACTAAATAATATGTTTGTGAAATTTGTTTTGATTTAGAATGGACCATTATCATGCCCCTGTCACGTTCGTTCATGAACGGGTCAGACCAAGGCGCAGCGTGATATGATACATGTTTATTTGACTAATAAACACAACGACAAAACAACAAACGAAACGTGAAGTCCAAGGTACACAAACAACATACCTAACACGGAACAAGATCCCACAACCCAATAGTCCCAATAGGCTGCCTAAGTATTTGTCCCCAATCAGAGACAACGAGCGACAGCTGCCTCTGATTGGGAACCACACCGGCCAACATAGATCTAGAACATACTAGATCCAAACATAGAAAATACAACATAGAAAATCACACCCTGACTCAACAAATAAGAGTCCCCAGAGTCAGGGCGTGACAGCCCCTGTATCGAAACAGGGGCAGCGGGAAAAAATACATGTAATCTATGCACTTAAATAGCGAATGGATGACGCTTTTCCCGTGGTTCATTTTCATGCCAGCCAGATAGGCTATACTCGTGTTGTAAATATAAGCAATGTGCTTAATATTAGGAAAGTTGAGAAATAAATATACAGTAGTAGGCCTAGCCTATAGAAAGCTGAAGGGATCCTCCTCTTTTTAGTAAAGGCCACCACTCTGTTTTCTCACGCAATTGCATAGCCTGTAGAAATGTTGCGCAACATGAGCTCATGGGCTCTCATGAAGTGTTTGATTCGATTTTTTGATTACATGTCAGAGTGATTAGAGGGACAATAGAGTGCTGAGTACCAGGCAGTTGGCAAGTCTGGTAGGCTACTAATGACCAGCAGCAACATCAGAGCATGGAGAAGCCTAATTACTGTGACTAAATGGTCACATGGAATTTGACTGCCTTCATGACTTTTGACCGCCGGTGTGGCAGTAATACGGTCACAGCAACAGCCCTAGTTACAACCCTTTTTGGGGCTGTATAGAACCTTTTTTTCATGGTTCTTTATAGAACCTTTATGGATAGTGGTTCTATAAAGAACATTTCTCAATCTAAAAGGTTCTTTGTGGAGCATTTTGAAGAACCATAAAGGGTTTTTTATTCTGGTCAGCCATATTATATTGTAAAAATTCCATAGATATTAATTATTGTGTTAATTGACAAGTTGAATCAAGTGAGCTACCTCTGGAACAACTGGGGGTCCCTGAGGAGAGAATTGATGACTAATGATTGATTTAGTCGCCCATACGTAAGTCTTTCACAAGGCACCGTCACTAGCCATAATCATATATACAGTAATATGTAATGGCATAAAAGAACACATTACATAAACAGGAATAACACTCTGTCACGGTTGCACAAAAAGACCTGTGCGTAAACCACGCCCCTAAGAAAGCTAAAGAACCCTTTTGTGAACTCCAAAAATACATTGAAGAGCTCAAAGGGTTCTTTGGGAAGGTTGATGGTTCTATGTGGGATCATAATGACTTAAATAACCCTTTGAGCTCTTCAATGTATTTTTACAGTTCACAAAAGGGTTCTTTGCTTTCAAAAACAAAGACGTGAGAAATTCGCATTTTTGTGTGTAGCTGGCAGTTTTTTCCCCTTCCCTTTTCTCCCCTGGCTGTAATTCATGTATATTATATTTTCTCTGCGTGTGGAAAGTCTAATGCTTGCTGCAACCGGGGGGAGAAGGAGGCAGGTCACCGGGGGTTAATCTGTGGAGTTTCTCACGTCCTTGTTTTTGAAAGGATGACTTCTAATCGCCCCCCCCCCCCCCCCATCCCTCTCCTCAGACACTGTGTATGGTCTGGCATGCTGAAAGAAGAAATGTGGAATGACCGATTTGCCTTCTCTTTGTCCTCCTCCTCTTCCTCCTCATACATGCCTCCATCACTCTGCTGCAATCTTGAGTCATAGCTGTTTAACAATGCGTTGAGGTGTGTGTATATACAGTGGGGAGAACAAGTATTTGATACACTGGCGATTTTGCAGGTTTTCCTACTTACAAAGCATGTAGAGGTCTGTAATTTTTATCATAGGTACACTTCAACTGTGAGAGAAGGAATCTAAAACAAAAATCCAGAAAATCACATTGTATTATTTTTAAGTAATTAATTTGCATTTTATTGCATGACATAAGTATTTGATCACCTACCAACCAGTAAGAATTCTGGCTCTCACAGACCTGTTAGTTTTTCTTTAAGAAGCCCTCCTGTTCTCCACTCATTACCTGTATTAACTGCACCTGTTTGAACTCGTTACCTGTATAAAAGACACCTGTCCACACACTCAATCAAACAGACTCCAACCTCTCCACAATGGCCAAGACCAGAGAGCTGTGTAAGGACATCAGGGATAAAATTGTAGACCTGCACAAGGCTGTGATGGGCTACAGGACAATAGGCAAGCAGCTTGGTGAGAAGGCAACAACTGTTGGCGCAATTATTAGAAAATGGAAGAAGTTCAAGATGACGGTCAATCAACCTCGGTCTGGGGCTCCATGCAAGATCTCACCTCGTGGGGCATCAATGATCATGAGGAAGGTGAGGGATCAGCCCAGAACTACACGGCAGGACCTGGTCAATGACCTGAAGAGAGCTGGGACCACAGTCTCAAAGAAAACCATTAGTTACACACTACGCCGTCATGGATTAAAATCCTGCAGCGCACGCAAGGTCCCCCTGCTCAAGCCAGCGCATGTCCAGGCCCGTCTGAAGTTTGCCAATGACCATCTGGATGATCCAGAGGAGGAATGGGAGAAGGTCATGTGGTCTGATGAGACAAAAATAGAGCTTTTTGGTCTAAACTCCACTCGCCGTGTTTGGAGGAAGAAGAAGGATGAGTACAACCCCAAGAACACCATCCCAACCGTGAAGCATGGAGGTGTAAACATAATTCTTTGGGGATGCTTTTCTGCAAAGGGGACAGGACGACTGCACCGTATTGAGGGGAGGATGGATGGGGCCATGTATCGCAAGATCTTGGCCAACAACCTC